CAAAGAGCCAATGCACACATGAATCTTATACTGCTTACTGTGTTGCTCTAAAATTCTATGTCTTTGACTTAAGAGACTCATGTGTCCTATCGGTATTCCCAAAACAGTCACAAACTAATGTATAACTTGTACACGAGTAAAACTCTAGACCCTTCACACTTCTTAATAATGCTCACTTTAGTGTTATATACTCTGAAAATAAGCTGTGCATTTTTTTTTCCTGCTCTGTTCTCTTTACTTCATGAGAGAGAGAATGAACAAGTAGCTTACAAGTTACCAGACAAATCTCCTAACCTGATGGGAGGACTCTGAAGCTAAAGGTAGGAATCAGTTTAGAAAAATGTTATAATTCAGGTAGGATAGGGTGGTGTAAATTACTATAGAAAAATATTAATTTGAGATATATTTAGAAGAGAAGTAGATAGGAATTATATTCATTAATTAGATGTAAAGTATGAGAGATTTAAGATTTAGGTAGAACTCCCAGGTTCATTACGGCTTAACAGCTGGTGTTATTCATTTGAATAGGTGAATATTTCTAAAATGCTCTTTTTTCTGTTGTAGGAGCAGACCTGGTTAGGTCATAGAGCTGGTTAGGAGATTTAGATGTCCTAAGAGTTCAGTGTGGGGCACGATAGACTTAGGGTGCTTTGTGAGACAGAAATAGAAATGTCCAGGGAGTAGGAAATGTGGTTCTTGATTATCAAAGGAGAAGGTTAGGTCCAGAAGTATAAATTTGGAGTCTTTAATCATATAGATGAAATTTGATGCGATGGGAGCAAAAATTGATTCTCCCTGGATGATACTGTAATGTGAGAAGAGAGGGGTAGAAATACAACTCTGGAGAGCAAAAACACCTTGAGGACTAGGAGAGAGTGTGATGAGGAAACCATGGAGAAGAGTATTAAGAATTTGGGAATGCTTAAGATGGACTTTAAAAACAGACATGACAAAGGTATTAGTTAGAAAAGGGTTAGTTAAATAAGCCTTCTCTTGAAAGCCAGAGGGGATGGGAAGTGATGTGCTAGTGGTTGACTTGCTTAATTTTATTTTATTTTAAAAATATTTTTAAAGAACTGGATTACAGGCCAGAGATATGAGGGTGAGAGGATTAGAGACAGGAGTGGGGAGCAGACAGGTAGATCCACTGAAATCCACGGCTGAGGGGAGCAGTGGGTGAGACAGGAGAGGTCTGCTGTGCCATGTGGTTCAGCTCCCTGGCTGGGGATCGAACTCCTGCTGCTGTGGCTGCAGGTAGCTTCACAGTGCTGCGCTTTTATCCCTTTGCACCACCAGGGTGGCCCGGCTTGCTTAGCTTTAGTTCTTTTACATTAGAGTGGATGAATGTTGTTAAGATGGTGGATATTGAGATAAATAAATGTGTGTTGGGTGGTTCCTCTTTGATCTCTGATCTTCTCTGTGATATAAGTGGTAAGGTGTATGAATGTGTTTGTGCTGCCATAAGAAAGTACCATAGACCTGGTGACTTAAACAACAAAATTTATTTTCTCACAATTCTAAAGGCTTAAAGTCCAAGATTGAGGTTTAGGCAGATTGGTTTCTTTTGGAAGCCCCTTCTAGATGGCATCTTTTTGATATTCTCTCTGTGGGGTCTCTGTGATAGTCTCTTCTGGTAAGGATACCAGTCATTTTGGATTAGGGCGGTGACCTCATTTAACTTTAATTATCTTTTTGAAAACTTTATCTTCAAATGCAGTCACATGGAGGTGTGTGGTTGAGAGCTCAAATATATGAATTGTTAACAAAACATTGGATAGGGAACTAAGGACCTTGTAGGACTCTGGGGGCAATATTATGGGCTCAGATTGAACAACAGCACAGTTTTTTTCAGCAGCATTTGGGATTTCAGGTATATAATGAGTGGGTTTTTTTTTTTTTTTTGATTAATCGGAGTTTGAATTGACAATTTTCCCCCAAACTTTTGTGGTATAATTTAAATTGATGGGTGAAATCAACACCCCTACCAAGATTGTGGACGTTTTCATAACTCCAGCACTTGCTCCTTTATGATCCATGCCTCTCTCTGCCTCATTCCCAGACACATACTGCTTTGCTTTCTGTCGTAAGAGATTTGTGTGTGAGAGACTTTTGTTTTATGATTATTGTCTGGCATATTTGTAAAGGAATAAAGATTGTAAGAACTATCTTCCGTGAAGCTCATGAGATTAAAAGTTAGTGTGGGAGCTTCAGGCACAGCTAGTGGATTTCCTTCTTTTGTTGTATAAGTGAATATAGTTCTAATAATAACATAGACTCCACATTTAAAAGACGTTGGGTCTGAAAATGATTTGAACAATAGTGTGCACTTAATGTTGAAAACTTGATATGATATTTTGTTATTGGACTTTAACCTATCCAGTATGACTTAGTGAAAATAGAATCAGCACAAAAGGACAATTGGGACTTTTTTCTTGAATGTAGCAATTTAACCTTCTGATGGCTTGGTTCCTGAGATTTTGTATCTTGATAGCTTTTCTTATTTCATTCTTTTACCCAAAAAGATAAGTTTTGTCCTTAATAGAAAGATAAATGTAGTTACCTGAATTTTATACCTGTGAAAACCTAAGCTCAGCCTTAGAGTTCAGATTTAGAGTACTAAGTTAGCAGAACATTTTGCCTTAAGACTGTGAAGCCCTTAATAACTGGTGGAACAATTGAGATGTAACATCAGCACATGTGGTGGGTAAGCATCGTAGTCTAAAGCTTCCAGGCCCTGCGCTAGGTGCCTTGACCTGGCACTTAGTGGCTATGTGACTTCAGTTAAGTCACTTAACAGCTCACTTCTCTCATCTGTAAAATGGAGATAATGAGAGTACCTATATTATATGGAGCTTGTAAATATGGAATTAAACCTTATGAAATTCTCAGCAAAATGCCTGGCATATAGTAAACACTCAAGAAATGTTAGCTTTTCTTACCACTCAGGATTTTGGATAATGAGTGGCTCACTTATTTTAAGCAGTATTCAGATTACTTTTTCCTCTTTGATCTTGAAATAGAATTTACTTGAACACTATTATATGGATTTTACTTGTCATCTACCTTACACTCCAAATTAATCATGAAAAGGAGTTTTACCTCCTAATAGGTTAGTCCTGGAAAGGGATTCCCAACATTCCTAGCAGAATATTACAATTTCTGTACTGGGTGTACCAATATTACTTCTGAAATAGAGCCTCAAAGGTTGAGGTTCTATATATTTCTTGTTCAGTTTATTGTTACCATAGAGCATCTTTACTAGGCCACTGATGTAGAGATGAAACTGCCAGTGTATCATGTTTCTGATGATTTTTATCCTGTTTGAGTTTGACTAAACTATGTAGTCTTTAAAAATATTAATTTTGGCTTTGTGATTTACTTGGCATTTTCAGTAAACACAAAAAGTCAATTTTTCACAGCAGTGAAATTTTGAAAAATGTTATTTAATATGCTGAAACCTGTTACTTGGTCCTTATAAGCACAGCTAAAGCGCCCACAAACATTTTCCTTCAACCTCTTCATTGAATACAAGTTCCCTTTCCCTCTATTCATTGCTGTTTTGAATTTGTTTTTCCCCATGTAGGAAATTATATTGACATGTTTTCTGTTAAGGTCGTTATGCATATATCAGATACACTTTAAATCCATTTTTAAATTTTGCTTTTAGTATTTTTTGGCTTGTCATCTTGATGTAATAAATGTATTAGTTGTTTTGCTTTCAGTTTCTTAAGAAACTCTCTTTTGACTTTGCAAGATATTCTAAATTTTTGTTCTGGTCCTTTTTAAGAATTTTAACATTTATATCTTCGATGTCATAAAATTTATCTCTGTACACTGTGTGAAGGTACGGATGTAATTTTTTTCCCAAGAGCATCAGTTATTCAAACCCTGTTAACTGAACCCCATTAACTGAATGATATGTCCTTTCCTCATTGTTTCCAATTGTTACTTTTAGCATATACTAAAATACATTTAGGTATTAATTTAGACTATGCAGGGTCCAGTACTGTGGTTTAAAAGACAGTGAATAGCTTTATAAGACTACCATCCCTTGTGAGAAATATTGGCAGTAATGTGGCTTTGGAGCCCAGATTTTTTCTTGTAATGCCTAGAGGCTATTATGTAGTATCCTGTAATCATATACGATGTTTTCTCAATGAAGTATGCAAGTTATCACATATCACATGTGACCTGAAGTGATCTCTTACAGATCAGGTAAAATCTTGCTTTTAAATAAGTTAAAAAGAAAAAGCATGTGTTTTCAGAGCTTTTGAATTTTTACATTGCAAATAAAGGATCATGCACCTATAATTTGTCTTGCTATTTAGGGAACATCATCATTCTTTGTTCTTCTGTTTGTTTTTTTCTTATCTTAACCTTTGCTTTTCCTTTTGAATTTTAAGAGTCAATTTTGTACTGCTTTCATTGGGGAAGAATGTATACATTTATGGTGTTTGTCCTTTCTTTCATGAACATGGATAACGTCCCTTTCTGTTCAGGTGTTCTTTCAGAAAGGTTTTATAGTCCTTTACCAAAAATACTTGTAGATTTTTTTAGAAGTATGCCTAGGAGTGATGGTTTTGTTGCTATTGTGAATGGGATTTTTAAGAAATTATACATTGTAACGCTTAATGATGTTCAGGAATGTATTGAAATTTACATTTTGATCTTGTGCCTGACCAGTTTGTTGATTTTTTTTATTCTTATAACTTATCAGATGATCATCTTGGGTTTCAAAAGTTTCATCTTTTCTCTGCTAATGTTTATACAACTCTTATATTTTTATCTTTTCCATATACATGGTTTGTTTTCAGTATTTACTTTGTGATAAGAATGTCTAAAGAATATTTACAGTGAAATAAATGTGTTGTATTAAACTTTGAATGCATTAGTAAATAGATGATAGAACTCCTCCTTAAGGGGGGGGGCGGTAATGAAAGATTTTTGACAAGGGAAATGTTTATTATTGGAGGGTTTAATTTATGACCTTTTCATTGCAGATGTGATGTAAGACATTTCTTCAAGGCTGGACAGCTGAGGACCTGTTATTTCTGATTAGCCTTAAGCAGACCTATAGCCATAGAGAAACCTCACGGAGTTTCATACTTTGCTTTCTGCTTTACATCTTTCCTGACACCTAAATCCATCTTGCAACCATGTATGGAAGTGCTCGCTCAGTTGGGAAGGTGGAACCAAGCAACCAGAGCCCTGGGCGTTCACCAAGGCTTCCACGTTCTCCTCGCCTGGGGCATCGTCGAACCAATAGCACAGGAGGGAGTTCTGGAAGCACTGTTGGAGGTGGCAGTGGGAAAACCCTTTCAATGGAGAATATCCAATCCTTAAATGCTGCCTATGCCACGTCTGGCCCCATGTATTTAAGTGATCATGAAAATGTGGGCTCAGAAACCCCTAAAAGCACCATGACACTTGGCCGTTCTGGGGGACGTTTGCCTTACAGTGTTAGGATGACTGCTATGGGCAGTAGCCCCAACATAGCTAGTAGTGGGGTTGCTAGTGACACCATAGCATTTGGAGAGCATCACCTCCCTCCTGTGAGTATGGCATCCACTGTACCTCACTCTCTTCGTCAGGCAAGGGATAACACAATCATGGATCTGCAGACACAACTGAAGGAAGTGTTAAGGGAAAATGATCTTTTGCGGAAGGATGTGGAAGTAAAGGAAAGCAAATTGAGTTCCTCAATGAATAGCATCAAGACCTTCTGGAGCCCAGAGCTGAAGAAAGAAAGAGCCCTGAGAAAGGATGAAGCTTCGAAAATCACTGTTTGGAAGGAGCAGTACAGAGTTGTGCAGGAGGAAAACCAGGTTAGTTTTGTATGCATGTTTACCTTTATTACCCAGATTCACACATATAAATGAAATGAACCACTCTTTTTTAGGATTTCTCTTCTTGGTTTATTTATCTTCCTTTTTACTTTGTATTTTAGTATTTTCTCTCCTCTGGTTCTCATGCTTTAATTTTTTTCTGATTGCCATGTCTGTTCACTCACCATTTTCGCTTGTTTCTTTCTTCAGCTTTTCTTTCTCATCTGTCTTTTCTTTCATCATGTTACATTTTTTGAATTCTTGTGAGTATATTGATTTGGCCCATGTTCTAAGCT